AGGTCGGCTAGGTGTTTAATGGTCTCATAAACTTTACTTAAAAGTTTCATATCTTATCATATCGCTGTAGATTGCCTATGTGTTCATACTTTAATTCAGGGGTTAGGCTGAAGTAAAAAACCAACAGAAAGTACTCAAAACTATATCATGTAATTCAGAGGTTATGTCTTTCATTGACGGCTATTTTAACAGCTTTTCTACTTTCCACGCAGTGAAACATGACTGTGTATTCGGGGATGACTTTGATTTAAATGAAATAACCTATGTTTCTGAGGTATTCTGGAGTTCTCCTGTCCTCCTACCTTCCATTCCCCTTATTCTCGTCTGAAAACCCAAGATTGGTAATATCATGGAAGATCCTTTGGAAGCTACTAATTACTTGTCATTCCATCCAGGTTCTCAAGCAGTTTGATCGCCCCATTGTGTATTCTTTGTCTCCTGGAACTAGTGTGACACCAGCCATGGCCAAGGATGTCAGTGGACTGGTCAATATGTATCGTGTAACAGGAGATGACTGGGATACATGGGGGGATGTCAAATCACATTTTGATATTGCCAGGTGGTTACATTGTTATAATTTAGTTGACACATTTGTATCTGCCTTTAGAGTACCTCGATAATATTTTATTTCTGAATCCCTGGTCTGTTATTCCATCATTATATCATATAACTTTAGTTATTTGATTCTATCAGGGATTTCTCAAATGCTAATATGATAGGAGCAGAAGGTTTAACGGGGAAATCTTGGCCTGATTTGGATATGCTACCCTTTGGATGGCTAACTGATCCTGGTAATGAGGCCGGGCTGCTACTTTTTCTCTGTCCTGTATTAATATGATTACCCTTGTACTTTTAATCAGTTAGCTACCAACAATGTGATTATGGACAGAATTACTTCTGTTTTCATTAATCATTTATCCTTCCTCTATCTTCTGCCCTTTTTGTTGTTTTAAGCAAATAACTTTTATGTGAAACCAGAATCCGGTGGCATTGTAAGCATTTGTCTGCATATAGATTTACTCTTCCATGAAGAGGACATTGCTGGTTCACTGAAACTGTTAGATTAGAAAACTCAAGATATTCAGCAGTCTCGTCGTGGGAAATTGCCACAAGCTGTTTAAATTTAGACTCACGGGAAAAATGGATTATGATACTGCATTTTCACTTTTTTCTTTGTTTTTGGAAGGTTCAATTGAAGGTCCACATAGGTTTAGTCGTCTCAATCTGGAAGAAAAGAAGACACAGGTATTTCTACAAGCACAGCTAAGTTTTTTTCTGATATATTCATGTGCTAACTTTAATTTGCTTACAACTGTATATGTATTATCAATAGACTGAGTGAATGTCTTTCTACCCCATAGATGACTCTTTGGTCTATGGCAAAGTCTCCCCTTATGTATGGTGGGGATGTTCGGAAGATTGATCCTAGTACATATGATATTATCACAAATCCCACCCTTCTCGAGATTAATTCTTTTAGCTCAAATAATATGGAGGTATGTGAGCCATCTAAATATTTTGGTGTAATAATATTTTGATCAAATTAGTATCATATTTACTTTGCCGCATTGGCAGTTTCCTTATATCACAATTGTGAAGAGTGAAGATCAGGATCTTAGTTTGAGAAGAAGTGGCAAAGAAATAAAAACAACTTTCACCCATTCATTAGGCCTCACAAAGTGCACCGAGTCAAAGGCAATAGGTTGGGCTAGTGAAAGGCTTAACCTATATCTTGAAAGAATATGTTGGAAAAGGAGTTTAGGAAACAAGCATCTTGCCCCCTTCTGTGTGCACAAAAGAGAACTTTACTTCCCATTGTAATCTTGCTTATCTTGCTATGTTCCATTTTTCCTAACTCTGATATGAATAATAATGATGTTAACAACAGAAATTGGTACTTGGATACTGATACAGAGATGAAGTGAGTATGTATCAAGAGTATCATCACGGGAAACATCATTTAGTTGCAACTAACAGATTAAAATTTTGCTTGGATGCTTCTCCAAAACGCAAGCTCACCTCTAAAGAGTTCAAGAGAGGGACATTTTCTCCCTGCAGGTGGGATTCAAATCAGGTATGTTTAATCTATCTTTAGGTTTTGCAAGGGTGCATGTTGCCCCAGCTTGTAGTTTTTGCAATTTTGTCTGAGTTTTATACAATTCAAAGATAATCTTGCTTGTGCAGCACACACTGCTCCTCTTCCAATCTTAATATTACTTTCGCATGTTTTTTTACATGAAATAACATTTAGATATGCATCTTTACATGTATATTTTTTTTTTTGTGTATTCTGTTATAAACTGATTTTTGAGTCATTCACAGATGTGGGAATTGAATCCTAATGGGACCCTGGTCAATAGTTATTCTGGCTTGTGTGCAACAGTAGAGTCTACCGAAGGTGAAAATTTGCAAATACACTTTCCCGAATGATGTTTGATTCATGCAGTTGTAGAGTTTATCTTGTTTTTTGCTCATTTTTGCAGATACTATTAATTCTGGTGGCTTGCGCTCTTGGATTGCTACAGGAAGAAAAGGTCTGTTAACAAAAACTACAGCTAAATTTTGATTGTTTTGTTTCTGCACTTAATCCAATCCAAAAAACTGCATTAGTGTATATTTTGCAGACACTGGTTGAGGTTGAACTAGTAGCATGTCACATTAAAGATTTCTTTGGAGTTATTCTGTTCTAACTCTTACAATTGTATCTGTGTAGGAGAAGTCTATATTGCTTTCTTCAATCTAAGTGAACAGAAGACAGTAATGTCTGCACAGGCATCTGACCTGGCTAAGTTTCTTCCTGCCAAAGACTTCAGAGACTTCAGTTCTTGTGAGGGCAGTGAAGTGTGGAGTGGAAATGCTGTAGAAATAACACAATGGAGGCTATCAGCAGCAGTAGAAATGCATGGAAGTGCACTAATTGTTCTGAAATGCAGCTAAAGGAGAAAAAAGGCATTTCACTGGCTAGCTAAAATATGAATGTAAAATGTGGATGATGATTGCTGCATAGAGGGTGCTGTGGAAGAACACATTCTATTTCTAAAATTAAAATAAGGGTTTGTGATTTTCCTGATAAATGTCCACTAAGTGTGGTCACTGGAAGGTGGTGGAAGTAGCAGAAAGCTCTAAACTGAAGTAACCTATTTTCCATGCTTCAGAAAGTGAAGATTGAATCCTTATTTTAATTCTTCAAATCAACACATTGAATAATTTAGCTAATAACATTAACAAATAACTTTAATTCTTGTTTTTAGCTATAGACAATGGCTAACTGTTAAAAAATATATAAAATTATTACTTTCTAAATGTTATGTTAAAATAAAAAGGTTGTCTTTTTGTTTTATTGCTGGTATTTAATTGAAACGAGTGATAGTATAAGGAAGATAAGGAAGAACCGATTATCTTATATCCTGGTTATAGTATTTAATTGAATATATTATAGGTTTAGGTGTAATTTTAATTTCTTTGGTTTCTTCTGTGATTAAATTTCCTTTTGTTAAAATTCATGTATATTTATTTTTCACAGTCTAAACTTTTGCAAATTGAATTGAACATATTATTTTAAACTTTTCTATTTAAAACCCAGTGATTAGAAACATTAAGTTTCACTAAAAAGGAAAATATAAAGCAACCTTCTCACTACAGATTTAGTATACACACACTTAAACGCATTTGACTACTTCCAGATAGTTTTCCTTTTTAAAGTGAAGTGCCTTATATTTTATTTGAAATAAGTGACGTAAGCCATTGCATCATGAGCAAGATTTAACAGGATTAAATTAACTTAAATGGAATGGAAAAATTGGCTTTTGGTTCTATAAATGTTTCGTACAAAGAGACATCTAAATATCTTTTCTTAAAATAAAAGAAACTAGCCAAACGCTATCACTAAATATTACTTAAATAATTTAAATTTAAAGTTGTTGAATTTTTAATTAAATACTTTTATGTAGTAAGTACTTAAAGTTTTTACATTATTTAAGTGAATTTTTATTATTTAATTTTTTCATTAAATGTGTGGTTTTGTCATCTTATATATTGTATAAATGTAAGGTTTGTATAAATGATATTAGGGTTAAAATAAAATTAATGTTTATATTTTATTTATTGATAGGGTTAAATATGTTTTTAGTCCCTAAACTATTGGTCGTTTCTGGGTTTTCGTCCCTCTTTTAAAGTAAGGTACAATTTGGTTCTCATTCTTTTCGAAACGTTCGTTTTAGTCCTTGAAAACTAAACACTGTTTAAAAATTTGGTACTCATTTAGCAACAAATGAAGACTAAAACCAAAGTTCCGAGGACTAAAACGAACGTTTCGAAAAGAATGAGGACCAAATTATACCTTGCTTTGAAAGAGGGACGAAAACCAGAAACGACCAATAGTTTAGAGACTAAAAACATATTTAACCCTTATTGATAAGATGTTCAATTATGATTTCGTTATATTTTTCAATGATTATTAAGAAATTTTTCTGTCATCATCATTGATGAAATAATTTTTCAATAATAAAAATAATTTATTATTTCATATTAATAGTATTATTATTTTATATTTTTGTAATACATTAACAAGTAAACAACACATTCAATTAAAATAATAGAATTAAATAAAAAAATATAAAAAAATTGTATATTCAACAAACAAAGAAAAATTAATAAAAACTCAATTAGAAATACTTAAATTCATTATAAATTTAAAAATTAATTGAATCTAACAAATGATTTATTTATTGTTGTATGTAAGTAACGTGAATCATGATAAATTTAAAATTATTAATGATTTTTAATTATAGATTAATTACATATTAATTTTATTTTTTTTTTAATAAAAGCATATAACAATTACTAAAAATATACTCAATTGTTTTAATTATTAATAAAATTGAGGAGTTTATATCAAAATTAAATTTTTTTTTTCAATTATACTAAAAAAAGAAAAACATAGGAGATTTTGTAAATAAGGATAGATACTTAGAAAAGTCAGATATAGAAGAATTGGCGGGTTAAAGAATTCATTCTCTGAACCTTTCTCCGTCCGTTCTCTTCCCTTCCGTTCCATTTCCGTCATCTTCTTCCTCTCTGCAACAATGGTAAATCAATGATTTTTTGTTTCTTAAATTACAAAAATGGTTTTATCAGCTGCAGTCACAATAACGACCCTATTCAATCCATCATCATCATCATCTTCTTCTTCTTATTCTTTCAGTTCCCCTATTTTCCCAAAACCTAACACCTTCACTCCTTCCAAATCCAACGCCGTTAACGCTCTATGCACCAAACCCAAACTCCGATCCAACGTCGCCGACAAGCTAAACAACATCGCCTCCGAGTTCACCTCTCTCTCCCAACCCATCGACCGCGTCAAACGCCTTCTCCACTACGCCTCCCTCCTCCCGCCCTTCCTTGACGTCGACCGGGTTCCGGCCAACCGAGTCGTCGGCTGCGCCACCCAGGTATGGGTGGTGGCTGAGATCGACGAGCGGCGGAGGATGCGCTTCCGCGCCGACAGCGACTCCGAGATTTCGAAAGGCTTCTGCTGGTGTCTGGTCTGGATTCTCGACGGCGCGAAACCCGAGGAGGTCCTCATGGTCGAGAGGGAAGATTTGGCCGACGTCAATGTCGGATTGGGGATGAGTCTCAAGGCTCACTCCCGGACCAATACGTGGCACAACGTTTTGTTCGCCATGCAAACTGCCGCCAAAGATTTGCTCTGATTTCACTTTTTCCCTCTCACGCAAATTTTGTAACAATAGTTTTTCATCTTCTCTTAAACTTGCCTTGGTTTTATCGCATGTTTGATTATAGCAATGCAAATTCCATTCTACCGGGATATGCTGGACATATATCTATTTCCTCTTCGAATCTCAGTTTTTATTATGCTGCTACTTTTTATAGTTTTTTATTATCATCTTCTCCTCATATTTCATACCGCCAAAAATTATATTTATATGACCACTTTCCTGATCGGTTTGTAGTTACAGATGCTTGTAAAACCTAGATATTACACGGTTGACATGTTCTTAAAACATGATTCACGTGAGCAGTGGTGGTGGTATTGCGATTATGACAGGTTCCTCAATGGTTGGTGAAGAACAGATATGCAGATGATGATGATATCTGATGTACACATATTGAGGTATTTTATTTATTTTCTTCCCACCACTTGGTCTTTTGGTGATTACAAAATGTTACTAATGCTTGTGGACTGTAAAAAAAATTATACTTTACTTTAGTATGTGTGATGTCAGCCTAGAAATTTTAAGGTATGTTATGTTATCCTTACATAAAACTTATGATATTTAGAATTTTATCTTAGTAATATACAAATAAATTGACCCATAAATATTGGTTTTAGGTGTCTATTTTTTCGTTGTTTGAAACATAACAATATTAGGAACGTTAGCTTAAGAATTTTAATTGAGGTTCATCTGGGGTTTAACCTCCTAAATCTATTATACAATTCATAGGACACTTAGTAACTTTAGATTAGATTGTAATTAAAAATGTAATTTGTTTGGATAAAATTGGTTATTCCAGTTATATATTGGATTGGTTTGAATAGTGACTATAAGAAAAGGGAAACAGAAGAGTACAAACACATCTGGTGCATGGATAAAATTTGTGGTCAAATCTGGATTATGACTTTATTGTCTTATTGTCTAATCATCGTAGAAATTAGCAGAAAGAACTACACATGATAAGCCTATGGGAAAATAATTAATTAGGAGTTCCTCTCCCAAAGAAGATTTCACCATGTTCTGGATTGTTTATATTCACTAAAAAAGGATTTTATTCTATGTTCGTATTCACCTTGGAAACTGTGATTGGATTAATAATGTTCTTATTAAAGTTAATTTTTGCAAACAATGTCTTTTTTTGTTAAATGTTTTAAAGTTAAGCTTTTATTTTATCTATTGGTACTTTTATTGAGAAACATAGTTATTTGGCTGGTTGTTGATTAAATTTATGATAAATATGATTTTGGTTCTCATTGTATAAATAAAAAATGATTTGGTCGTTAATAAGACAAAAACAATTACTCAATTTTAAAATATGCAATAAATGGGACAATTATCTTTTGTAAGTCTTGTGTAACTATTTATCGTTAAGGTGTAATATTAAGAATTATTTTGAGACTATATTATATTTCTTGAGAATTAGTTTGATTTTTGAGTTAAAGTTTACACCAGAGAGGTTGAATTAAAATAATCCTATAAAAAGCCGATAAAAAAAATAATCCTATTGAAAAACGAGTTTGACTTATACTATTCTGACTTAAATGTATTTGATAAAAACGAAATATATTTAGATAATACTAATCAAAACCATTTTTATATGTAATCACTGGACATGGTATGAAATTTCAAAATAAGCAAAAAGTACAGGTGGTCAAAGTAGGAATAAGTGGTAGTTTTGGACATATTTTAATATAATAAATAAATTGAGAGAAATATTTAAAACCTTCTATGCGTGCGTAACCATTGTCGTCATAACCACCTTAACTATTTTATTTATTTTATTTTTTTGTGTAGTGTGCTGAAAAGTTTGGATTCAACTTCATCAGTGTACTACTGTGAAATTGGGGGAATTTCGAAATTATATAATTTATTTATTTTTTACGAAAAAGGATGATTTTTAAATTATGAAATTTGTGTATCACTTTTAAATTTAAAATTATATAATCTGAAAGTTACATACCATTAACACTTAAATTACTTATTCAAGTTATATAATTAAGTATATATTTTAAAACTTTAGATAGCACAGGAAGTTTCAATAAAAGTGTTAGAAAAAGTCAAAAAGAATATTTTAACATCTGTAAGGTGCAAGAGAAAAATCTCGGGTGGAAAAAGAAATTAGCCCAACACAAAACTAAGCTAAAGAAACTACAAACAAGTTCCTTACTAGGCAGTTTCTTTATGTACCTTCATAAATTTATTATTGCATTCCATGCTAAAAAATATTTACTCTTGTCTTTTTTGGATTGCAAAATATGGAAAAATGATTTTTAGATTGTGTAATAAAAAAAATTGATTGTGTAATTCAGAAGAATTTTTTCTTAGAAAAAAAATTCAAATTGTATAATTTGAAAATTAAGTGACTTCCAGATTATCTATTTTTTTCCTTAACTATCTCTATTTTTTGGAAGGCATCAGATTACACAAAATGAAATCTTTCTACATGGGAGTGAAGGTAGAAATTTACGAGGTGCAAGAAGAAGCTGTGTCCTTACTAGTGCTAAAAAAGCCCATGGACCGTGTTCCACCCTTGAGTTGAAAAGTAACTTTTAATCTCAGAAAAAAGTTTTAATCAAAAATAAAATTACGAAAAAGAAAAAACGACTCCACTGGGGATCGAACCCAGAATCTCTGGTTCCGTAGACCAGCGCCTTATCCATTGGGCCATGGAGTCCTTTTGATGTTAGGGTACGTTCTTAAATAATTTTAAATCAATTTATTCAACAAAATTTTTAAATCTTAATTAATTTGAATATTAATTATGGTATTACTACTGTGCCTAACTTTACAGCTGATTTGAATTTTAGTATTTGAGAGCATTGAATATGTTGGTCCCCTGACTATGTGGTGAGTTTTTGGCTATGAATGAAAACGGTGATATTAAAAGAATGTGTACTATGTTGGAACCACAAAATGACTATTTCCCTATCATAAAGTTTACTTACATTTCACTCACAATTTTTTTTTCAAACTCTAAATAAAGTGGGTACAAATAAAAAATACTAAAATAGTAAAAGATTAAACATTTTTTAATTAACTTTTACATATAATAATAATTAATTTCTCTTTAAAATTTTGAGCGAATTTAATTCTTAGTTTAAAAAATAAGAGGATTTAGTCTCTAAAATAAATGGACTGTAAAATTTTATATAACTTTTTATGATGTTTTATCATGATTATATGTGTCATTATATACATGCAGATTACAATTGATTTTTTATTTTTTTAAAAAACTTTAATTATTTTGGATTGTCTACTTTGAAAAGTTTTCAAAATAATAAAAATTTTGAATTTTTTAAATTTAATTAATTCAAAAAATAATTAATTCATGCGTATATAATGACATGGTTAAACATTATCATTTATGGTGGAATCTCATTTGATAATTCAACAAAATTCTGTATTGTTTCGGAATTAAATCCATTCATCTATGAAGTTGAAAAATTAAATTGATTCAATTTTTTTTAAAACTAAGTTTAATTTCATGTAAAAATTAAAAGATTATAAACATATTTAATCTAATAAAAAATAAAGACTATATTTTTTGTTATTTTAATAATTTTTTTATTAACTTATACATAAGTATTTGTTTAGTTTGGTGAGTTACGTATACATCGCTCAAAACAAAGTTAACTCACAAAAACCCTAATTTAACACTCTGTGGTGCGATTTGGTTGAAAGGTTAATTAGGGATTATAAATGAAGGTATGCATGAGCTTTTTGTGTGGTGAAATGGTTGGGTCTTAGGTTTATGATGTTGCTTTGGTAGCTGTTTTTGATGTGTTAGGGTTGTCACCGTAACACAAACCTAAATAAAAGCAATGTTCTAATTAACGAATGATGGATTTTAAAGAGGAACTAATTATTTCTAAACTTTCATAAAATAATACAAACTTTTTTTTTATCTTCTACTCCTCTCTTTTCTTTAATTATTAAAAATATTATATATATCAACAATTTTGATGTTATATAAAGTTGGTCAACCGTCCTTGTTAAATGCTATCTATTTATATTAAAACTTATATATTCTAATACATTAAATTAGCATTTGACATAATTAGGATGTAGTTGAAGTTAATATGTAAATATATTATAGTCAACAAAAATGTCGACGATAGGGTAATATAGTATTTCATCTAATCAAATTATCATTTAATATAAAATATATAAAGAAAGTAATATAAAGAAATTATTCTTCAAAATGTGTGTTAGTAAGATTTTTACTATTATTCTTCTAAATTACAATGAGATAACTTAAATTAAATTAATTTCACTCCAGTTTAAATATAAGTAAGGTTGCTGTTAAAACTTTTGATATTTTACAATTAATTATCTCTCTCTCTCTCTCTCTCTCTCTCTCTCTCTCTCTATATATATATATATATATATATATATATATATATTAAATATACATGCAAAGAATAATAGATTTATTACATTTTGTTCAGAAAGATATATAATCTTAGGGAAATTATATAATCACTACATTACAATTTTTTTCCCATTGATTATGATAAAATAAATGTCTCAGAAATAAATTTCAAATAATTAAATAAAAATGAATATAATTTTTTAATTAACTAATAAATTAAAGGTGTTTAAAAAAGGAAAAAGTATGAAACGATAAATGAACTTGTTCTTCAATTATCTTTTGAACTTCCCTGATCAAGAATCCTTCGACTCAATTTAAATAATATTCACTTTTTTATATTGGATATTAATATTTACTTTTTTTAATTTATATATATATATATATATATATATATATATTGTCTCCACACCCATATTTGTTTTCGTTTTAATTTTTTTAATTAACTAGATAATATAAAAAAATTATATACCCTTTTTTTCCAACTTACTTTGAAGACATATTTGATATTTTATTCTTCTATATAATTATCTAATATTCATCTAGTAGTAATTTGATATTTATACAGTCATAATTTATTTTTGATAACTGATGTTAGAGAAAAAAATTGTATTCTTACCACATTTAATCTTTGATATATTATAATTTTTCTTGTGATTTTTTTATAAATAATTATTTTTATCCATATTGATTCTCATACTCAAACAGTATAGAATTCTCATTAAAATTTGAAAAAAAAAATATGC